AATTAGAGTATTTTTTGAGGTAGAACTGATTTTGGAGAATCATTTCCTTGGGGGTGAAAATGAATTTTTGAGCATATTTTTTTATCTGCCAGCCTTTCAGAAGCTTTCTCACACCATGCCACCCAGCCTATAAATTGTCTCTATAATAGTGTATTTTTTTGAGGTACAACTGATTTTGGGGAATCATTTCCTTGGGGGTGAAAATAAATTTTTTAGCATATTTTTTTATCTGCCAGCCTTTCAGAAGCTTTCTCACGCCGTGCCACCTAGCCTATAAATTGTCTCTATAATAGAGTATTTTTTTGAGGTACAACCGATTTTGGGGAATCATTTCCTTGGTGGTGAAAATGAATTTATAAACATATTTTTTTATCTGCCACCCCTTTAGAAGTTTTCTCACACCATACTACCTAGCCTATTAATTGTCTCTATAATAGAGTATTTTTTTTTGAGGTACAACTGATTTTAGGGAATCATTTCCTTGGGGGTGAAAATGAATTTATAAGTATATTGTTTTAGCTGCCACCCCTTCAGAAGCTTTCTCACACCATGCCACCTAGCCTATAAATTGTCTCTATAACAGAGTATTTTTTTGAGCTACAACTGATTTTGGGGAATCATTTCCTTGGGGGTGAAAATAAATTTATAAGTATATTTTTTTTGCTGCCACTCCTTCAGAAGCTTTCTCACACAATGCGGCCTAGCCTATAAATTGTCTCTATAATAGAGTATTATTTTGAGACACAACTTATTTTGGGGAATCATTTCCTTGGGGGTGAAAATGAATTTATAAGTACATTTTTCAGCTGCCACACCTTCAGAAGCTTCCTCACACCATGTCAGCTAGACTATAACAGAGTATTTTTTGAGCTACAACTGATTTTGGGAATCATTTCCTTGGGGGTGAAAATGAATTTATAAGTATATTGTTTTAGCTGCCACCCCTTCAGAAGCTTTCTCACACCATGCCACCTAGCCTATAAATTGTCTCTATAACAGAGTATTTTTTTGAGCTACAACTGATTTTGGGGAATCATTTCCTTGGGGGTGAAAATAAATTTATAAGTATATTTTTTTTGCTGCCACTCCTTCAGAAGCTTTCTCACACAATGCGGCCTAGCCTATAAATTGTCTCTATAATAGAGTATTATTTTGAGACACAACTTATTTTGGGGAATCATTTCCTTGGGGGTGAAAATGAATTTATAAGTACATTTTTCAGCTGCCACACCTTCAGAAGCTTCCTCACACCATGTCAGCTAGACTATAACAGAGTATTTTTTGAGCTACAACTGATTTTGGGAATCATTTCCTTGGGGGTGAAAATGAATTTATAAACATATTTTTTTAGCTGCCACCCCTTCAGAAGCTTTCTCAGACCATGCCATCTAGCCTATAAATTGTCTCTATAACAGAGTATTTTTTTGAGGTGCAACTCATTTTGGGGAATAATATCCTTGGGGATGAAAATGAATTTTTAATCATATTTTTTTATCTGCTACCACTTTAGAAGCTTCCTCACACCATGCCACCTAGCCTATTAATTGCCTCTAAAACAGAGTATTTTTTTGAGCTACAACTGATTTTGGGGAATCATTTCCTTGGGGGTGAAAATAAATTTATAAGTATATTTTTTTTGCTGCCACTCCTTCAGAAGCTTTCTCACACAATGCGGCCTAGCCTATAAATTGTCTCTATAATAGAGTATTATTTTGAGACACAACTTATTTTGGGGAATCATTTCCTTGGGGGTGAAAATGAATTTATAAGTACATTTTTCAGCTGCCACACCTTCAGAAGCTTCCTCACACCATGTCAGCTAGACTATAACAGAGTATTTTTTGAGCTACAACTGATTTTGGGAATCATTTCCTTGGGGGTGAAAATGAATTTATAAACATATTTTTTTAGCTGCCACCCCTTCAGAAGCTTTCTCAGACCATGCCATCTAGCCTATAAATTGTCTCTATAACAGAGTATTTTTTTGAGGTGCAACTCATTTTGGGGAATCATTTCCTTGGGGGTGAAAATGAATTTATAAGTACATTTTTTTTTTGCTGCCACCCCTTCAGAAGCTGTCTCACTCAATGCGACCTAGCCTATAAATTGATTCTATAATAGAGTATTTTTTTGAGGTACAACTGATTTTGGGGAATCATTCCCTTGGGGGCGAAAATGAATTTATAAGTACATTTTTCAGCTGCCACACCTTCAGAAGCTTCCTCACACCATGTTAGCTAGACTATAACAGAGTATTTTTTTGAGGTACAACTGATTTTGGAGAAACATTTCCTTGGGGGTGATAATGGATTTTTAATTCTATTTTCTTAACTGCCACCCTTCAGAAGCTTTTTCACTCCATGCCACCTAGCCCATGAATTGTCTCTGTAATAAAGTATTTTCTTGATATATAAATCATTTTGGGGAATAATTTTTTTGGGGGTGAAAATGAAGTTTTATTTATAATGTTTTATCTACCACCCGTTTAGAAATTTTCTCAGTTTAGCTCATTAATTACTTTCAATACCATATATACAATAATCCGTAAATGAAAATTCGATGAAAGGTTTTGGGTTAAGTCTTATTCCTGCGAATTATTTAATTGGGGTGGAAAATGTTTCTTCCTATAGGGGTGCTTATTCTCGTGCACATACTTTGAAGTTGAGTCATTAATTTTCAGATAATGATTGTAGAAGGAAGATAAACCAAAATATGTATGTAAAAATAAAAAAAAAAATGTTACCTTGTTTTATAAAGTATCCTCCCGGCAAGTATTTCAGTGCGGACCTGTATTTGATCGTGCGGTCGTGGAGCACCGACATGCCCTCCCCTGTGAGGTCTTAACTCACCTGATTCACGAGCCCTTTGTACTACATTAACAAAGGCACGAGGGGTTGGTTGCACTCGATTGGGAAACCGATCCGCATACATCCGTGATGCCGCGGCAGCATTTTGTAAAGACTCCCCCTCCGTAAATAAGAATCATGTCCACAAGTTCACCATTTTCGTAAACATGTGCCATTTTCTATTTCGTTTGAGCCACGCAACAAACACCACTATTCACTCACGCGTTACCGCCTGACACATTGACTGAATACAACTAAAAACATCGTGATAAGCGTTTCAAATTCTTTCGCTTTTTTGTTTCCGATGCGATGAACCGATAAGGCGGATTATATCCGTTGTTGCCAAACACGAGCACATAATATTATTATTGAGACAGGGCGGTACTCAAACTTCTAAAGGGCTATAACTTTGTTACTTTAATTTTACCAGAAAAATGTTAAAGGAAAAAAACATTTCTTTTGATCACATCTACTCACTGTTAAAATAAATGACTCAACTTCAAAGTCACCCTGTATATTTATTGTTGTGAGCTGTTAGCTGTATCCTTCACAATGACAGACTGGTTGAAGATGTAGACACCACTGGTCATTCGGGTATATTCGGAAAATTGTCTGCTAAATTTTGTCTGCCAACTTCACAGCGGTGTCGGCAACACTGTCAGATAAAGCCAATGTATCATGTATCACTCGATTCCTATTCATTTTTTAACAATCAAGTTTATCAAATAGCATGGTACTTTCAAGATGCCAAAATAGTGGGATAACAAATGCAAATATTAAACACAAATTAACTTTTCCTGATCCTTAGAGGAATGCGGTAGACAATCCTGATTTCTCTGGTTTGTCATGAAAAATATTTTTTGGGCGCTGAATGTGGCGCGAATTTCAAACAAATTAAAAAATGACATTTAACCTATAATGTCTTTAATAAGGTAAAACCATCTCCTGTGGAAAGTAATACATATGAAATAAATCATTTGTCCTCAAAGATGTTATACATAAAGCTCGGTTAATCTGAGCAAGTAGTTCTCAGTTGAATTTTAATATACGAGTATTTGTAAAATAGGATGTTTCATTTTTGTAGAGCCCAAAATACATCGAATTTTCGAATTCGCAATGAAGATTGCCAAAAAACATAACCTAGGCTTTAGATCTCGTGTACGTTATTTCTGTATGCACACTTGCACATCATCACGTCAAGTACAGACGGCTATCATCGTTAATATAAGTAGTAAGAGTCCAGAAATATTCAGGATGGTTGCTGGCAGATACACATACATTTGTGCATATAATTAGTCACTTATCATTAAACATTTTTTTCGCTGAATAGAATACATGTTTGGCTGCTGATTTAAGGTAGCACATTTCCAGTTTTGGAGAAGACTCGGGCAAAGTAAACACCATTCTGCTATCATTACAGGAGTATTAATAAACAGAAAACTGTAAAAAATATCTAAATTGATCCTACAGTCATACGTCTTTAGAATCGGTGCTTTCAAATTCTGAATATCATGACAGCACCGATAGCATATATTGATGCAAAATCGCCACTTTCCGTGGAGGTTTCATTCCTTCTTTCATGCGACGAGCCTTGATTTTGCCCCATATTTGCCTTGCGAAATCAAACCACCTCTGTTTAAGGGCCCCCGCAGACGCAGACTTTCTATCGGCCGATAGTTTAGTCGGATTGCGCTGCTTTTTGGCACACCGAGCCAACTAAATAGTTTTGTTGGTGAAGAGTGCGCAGACTAGCCAAGAGCCGGCCGACGCCGACTATTCCGATCTGACTGTTGAAGTATACTCTATTTCACGAGTATCCATCATGGTACAATGACAGCTGGTTATCTGGTAATAATTCAAAATTCCCCATATCCGCAAAGGACACATAATTCTGACGAATCCGTCAATGCCAGGTGGACAAAGTCATATTTTATTTTGGTTTTTTGTATGCTACAGATTCATTTTGTACTTGCTAAAAGCTCTTTTATTTAGAAAAGTTCATTTGCATACAAAAAAAAAAACAATACAAACAATTTTTTGCTAAATTTACATTCGATTCATTATAGCCAACGTTGCAGACAACACAAAAATGTCACTTGCTGATCAACTGTTCACCTCGGTAAAATATACAATATTTTCCAGAAATGTTATTATTGCTCTCATACAACGGAGAAGAAAAATCTAGAAGAGATTCCGAGAATATTGAATGCATCCCATTCTCAGTGATAGATTAGTTAGTGGAAAATTTTACACAATGCATTCCAAATTTCTTGAAACTCGGGGCGAACTGAACTATCGACCGGCTAAACAATCGTCATGTTAGTTAGCCAACACTGATTACGCAGTCGGTCGATAGTTAGCCGACCAATTATTTTTAGACAGAGCGCACATTGCAGATTTTTCATCGGCTGATAGTTTGGTCCAAGATTGCCAAAAAACATAACTTAAGCTTTAGATCTCGTGTACGTTATTTCTGTATGCACACTTGCACATCATCACGTCAATTACAGACGGCTATCATCATTAAGTAAAAGTCCGGAAATATTCAGGATGGTTGCTGGCAGATACACATACATTTGTGCATATAATTAGCCATTTATCATTAAACATTTTTTTCGCTGAATAGAACACATGTTTGGCTGCTGATTTAAGGTAGCACATTTCCAGTTTTGGAGAAGACTCGGGCAAAGTAAACACCATTCTGCTATCATTACAGGAGTATTAAGAAATAGAAAATTGTGAAAAATATCTAAATTGATCCTACAGTCGTACGTCTTTAGAATCGGTGCTTTCAAATTCTGAATATCATGACAGCACCGATAGCATATATTGATGCAAAATCGCCGCTTTCCGTGGAGGTTTCATTCCTTCTTTCAGGCGACGAGCCTTGAGTTTGCCCCATATTTGCCTTTCGAAATCAAACCACCTCAGTTTAAGGGCCCCCGCAGACGCAGACTTTCTATCGGCCGATAGTTTACTCGGATCGCGCTGCTTTTTGGCACACCAAGCCAACTAAGTAGTTTGGTTGGTGAAGAGTGCGCAGACTAGCCAAGAGCCGGCCGACGCCGACTATTCCGATCTGACTGTTGAAGAATACTCTATTTCACGAGTATCCATCATGGTACAATGACAGCTGGTTATCTGGTAATAATTCAAAATTCCCCATATCGGCAAAGGACACATAATTCTGACGAATCCGTCAATGCCAGGTGGACAAAGTCATATTTTATTTTGGTTTTTTGTACGCTACAGATTCATTTTGTACTTGCTAAAAGCTCTTTTATTTAGAAAAGTTCATTTGCATACAAAATAAAAAACACTACTAACAATTTTTTGCTAAACTTACATTCGATTCATTATAGCCAACGTTGCAGACAACACAAAAATGTCACTTGCTGATCAACTGTTCACCTCGGCAAAATATACAATATTTTCCAGAAATGTTATTATTGCTCTCATACAACGGAGAAGCAAAATCTAGAAGAGATTCGGAGAATATTGGATGCATCCCATTCTCAGTGATAGATTAGTTAGTGGAAGATTTTACACAATGCATTCCAAATTACTTGAAACTCGGGGCGAACTGAACTATCGACCGGCTAAACAATCGTCATGTTAGTTAGCCAACACTGATTACGCAGTCGGCCGATAGTTAGCCGACAAATTATTTTTACACAGAGCGCACATTGCAGATTTTTCATCGGCCGATAGTTTGGTCGGTTTGGCAATGGATATATAATGAAAATGCGTAGACTTGCCGATTGAAAATCGGCCGATTAAACTATCAAATAGCATATAATATTTAGCATCACAGATTATGTGACTACACATACACACCGATTAACAAGTCGCCTCTTGTTTGATTTAAGACATTATTTGTTTTGGTTTGTTCGAATTTGTATTATCCAAAATGGCGGTACAGGACGAAATTGAAAAAATAATTGAGGAAGTGGAGAGTACAATACAAAAAAAGTTTAAAAGAATATTCCGATATTAATTTAAAAAGGAAGTTGTGGGATGAAGTTTGTGAAGCCGTCGTTCCTAGATGGGGAGAACTTAGCAAAGAAAACAAAACAAAAGAAGGTAAGTGTAATAAAATATTAGTGTATTCAAAAGCGTAGAACGTTTCTACAGACATATATTCATACTTTGTCATATTGGTAAGAAATACAGCCTTGCGGTGAAATAAAATATGATGATAAATAATGACGAACATTTTGTCCACTGATATTATTTTTTCCTCGCATGTTTTCTTGGATTGTTAAGCCATCTAAGGGGTAGTGATAACAAAGATCTTGGATTTTAATTCCGTCTTTTATACGAACATAATTGTGCAATACACAACACGCTTTTATTATATTAACACAGAAATCAATATTCACATCAATTGGTCGGTGAAAAATACGCCATTTGTTGGCCAAAATCCCGAATGTTACATTCAACCATGCGACGAGCTCTATTCGTTTAGTACAATTTAAATTTTTTCTTGCATAGGGGCGTAAAATGTGATTTGAAAGTCCGAGTGCTTCGTCGCCTACTAAATAAAATGGCGTTATGGTTCCGTTTTCATCATTAGGTAGCTTTCTTCCATCAGGGATATTTAGCTGGTTTGCAACTAAGCGTCTACCAATATTAGAGTTTTTAAATATCTCTGAATCACTACATGTTCCAAAGGAACCGACATCGATAGCTACAAACTTATAATCTGCATCGACCCACGCCATTAATACACAAGAAAAAAACTTTTTATAATTAAAATACGAAGTTCCGGAATGCTGTGGTTGTATCATTCGGATGTTTTCCGTCTACTGCACCGATTACGTTTGGAAAATTTGTACGTCGGTAAAATTCATCAGCAATTTCAATCCAATCCTGTTCTTCTTTACTTGGCATAAATAAAGGTTGAAGAATACTCCACAGTTGCGCACATGTTGTTGCCACAATTTCTCTTATTGTGGATGCTCCACGCAAATATTGATATGAGAGTGAGTTGAAACTCCGGAGGCCAAGTACCTGTAAATAAAAAAAATACACTTAAGAACGCTTTAAAATTACTTTTTTGTACTTGATCTAATAATTTTTTTTCATGGCATAACGTGCAAAAAAATGGGCAAATTTGAGAACTTGCTTTCGGAGGGAACTCAATGATCAAAAAAGTACTAAATCAGGCCAGGCTTCAAGTAAAAGGCGTAAATATGTATACTTTGATAAGTTGCTGTTTCTTCTACCTTGTATTGAGATGAAACCAACAGAAAGTAATATTGGTTCTCCAGAAGAACAAGATGATGCCAGTGACGATGTTCATGAAGGAGGTAATGAAAGTAGAGAATTCGATGAGAATGAAGAAGGGTCCAGATTTGAAACGCCTAAAACAAAAGGGGTAAAAAGAAAACATTGTAAGAACAATTTAGATTTGGACACAGCTTTAATAAATGCTTTGCAGAATAGTGAGAAAGATGAAGATACAAACTTTGCATCGTCGATTGTTCCTTCCTTAAAAGCACTATCTCCGGATGAGAAACTAGATGCAAAAATTCAAATTTTAGGAGTTTTTAAAAAATTAAAAATGGCAAGGTTTCATCCTTCGAATTTCTTGCAAAGACAATCACATTTTGTTCATCAGCCTCACACTTCAACCTTCGTACTAGCCTCTTTACCTTCACCAGGTTCAGCAGCTTCGTCTAGACCATCATCAAGTTTTTCTAATTCTCAGTACTTTGTACAACCCACCAATTTGTCACAGAGTATTACAAAACATCATCAATCGGAGCATTCATTTACACCATCACCTATTTATGACACTGCTCAATCATACCTTTCGAATTTTATAGTCTCTACAGAAAGTGTGTTATATGATTTGTAATATATTTCTTTATAATTAAAGCAACCTTTTTTATGTTTACTTACCTTAGTGTTACACTTAATGTTTCCTCTACAGGAACAGCAATTCTCAGTTGCGTGTCTTTCTTTTTTATTAGTGGGCCTACCAAAGACACCAACTGATGGAAACTGGTTGGACTCATTCTATAGAATGCAAAAAACTTTTTCGGGTATTCAACTAATTTTTGATGTAATGTATAGAATTTTCCTAAACTTAATCTACTACTGTTTATTGGATGCACCCAAAACTCTCTAACCCGTTTCTTTACTTTTCTTCTCCTTGCTATTATGGTGCAAATTAATACTCTTTTACTAAACATGTTGGTATTTTCAAGACTAGCTGTACAAAGTACTAAGGTTGATCAAGCAATAATTGTTGTAGTGTGCGCGCCCACCAACAACTACGGTCACTCAGCCCGATTCCGATCAAACTATCACCCGATAAAAAATCTGTAGCATGCGCTCGGCCTTAAGGGAATCGCCACGGGTATTATATAAAAAGCCTATAAAACGTCAAAAAAACCTATTAAATGTCATCTTGTAGGCTAGGTAGTTTTTAGGGTGCAAACAGACATTCCACGTTTGCTCACTAATCCTCGTAGTGAGCGTCCATCTGTGGAGGAATAGCTCAACTACACGCATAGTTGGTTGCATATGTTTTCTGAAGCCGAGTTGTCTACAGTTTTCATCTCTGAGAAGAAAGTTGGTTGAATAGAAAGATCGCATCTGGATGATTGTGTGTATTGGTCTGCATGTGTATAAATTCAGTGATATTTGCTGTGTGAGAAAATCATTACTGAATATGCTGCCAATGAAGTATGTCTATAGCTGTTCAAAGTTATAAATTACGATTTTTTACGTTTTTTTTTTGTTACAAAAACTTTGAAATTCAGCAAATTTGCATATGTAATTTCCAGAATGGATAACTAAAAGTGGATGCGCAACTAATTTCTATCTTTGAATCTCAATTAAGTGTAAGAATCCAATGGAATTATTATCAACACATATTATTAGCACACAAAACGTCACTATGCGTCTATGCATTGGCGTTACCTCCAGCAATGCCACCTCTGAAGCAGATTTTACATCACATCAGAGCCAAATATTGATAAGTGAAGCCTCGTGACGTTTAGGCAACACGTACAACTACAAAACCAAATCACAACGTGTCCATCAGCAAGTAGTAAGTTAATATCTTGTATAAAAACCTACATAATGTCACAAAAAAACAATATAATATCAAAAAAGTCGACATAATGTCACTTTTCAAGATACGTGCGGGAAGCCCATCAAACTTTCTTATCGGCCGGTAATGATTCGCTGTAATGTGCCTCTCCATACTGATTAAGAATCCGACCAATCTATCCGCCAATAGAAAGTCTGTAGTCTGAATAAATTTTCTCTTTATTGTACGACGTTTCAGTCCCAAGTACAATTATTGAAGATTACTGTTGGGACCGATACGTCGTACAATAAAGATGAATTTTAATATGGTTTGATTTGGTCAGACAAGTATGGGGGATTATCAGCATAAAAACCACAGCATAAGTTTCAGATGTTACATTAAAGCCTTGATTTGTTTTTTCTCTCATATTTATATTTTACATGCATGTATAAAAGTATGGGTCCGGATAGTGTATCCGCTTTGTCCTTATCTGCTTTTCTCGAAGCCACTTTTCAACTATCTTATTAGGTATCACAACTATCGAATCAATTCACCTGATTTGTATGACTATAATAGGAAAGTATGCGTTATGTATCTTAAAAAGCCGGTCATTATAAGCACTATTTTTTGTTTGTTAGCCAAATAAAGAGACGATTTATCCTACAACTACTTGTCGATTATTTATTAAACAAAGATAGACAAATATTTGTTTGCACTTGGTTACTATGTTCGACTCCTGGGTTGTATGTAATTGCTTTGTTTGGGGTGTTCACGTTGCCCGAGTCTCCCCTATTGGCTTTTTATCGTACGTTTTTGTGAGTGGATCCTTTGCTGGTCTATTGTGGCTTTTTTATTGTAACTGGAAACCAACGTTTTTTCTATTGTCTCAATGATTACTCTTGTTTTCCAATTCGCACAAATTTGGTGTGTTGTAGTTAGAACCGGCAACGTAGTCTTAACGCAGTACAATCTCATGAGGTATCGGAAACACGCAAAAAATGACAGTTCATAGTTAGGCACAATTGAAAACTTGCCGTGCAGGGAAAAAAGATGAATGTCACAGCCGTTGTACCAAAAAAAAAGTGAACGTCCACTGATCGTCACCGAGACTAGTAGCTACTACAACAATTTACCATTTTTAAGCAATTACCATTAATTTTGTTGTATTTTTTTATATTCTTTTAAACAAAGGTTTTTTTGGTTCATCGATTTTTTCCTGTCCCAAAAAAAATTATTAGAAATAATTCTGTGTTTGAGCTATTTAGCTTAGAAAATCACCTTTTTCTCTTGTTCTAGGCCCTGTGTAATGAATTTCCTGTTAAGGTAGTTCTCATATTAGAACAGATCGTAAAACCTACGATAGGAATTGTGCTGGTTAATCAACCCTTAGATTTTACAGGGTGTCGCATATGACGAAAGGCTTATTTCTAGCCTCAATATCTAAAAAAAGTTGGATTCAGGCATGGACGCTACCACATAAAAAAAATTTAAAATCATAAGGAGAATCTCAAAATACCAAAATAAAAAGGATTTCCCATTAAAAAATGTTTGGCCTGCTTTCACTTTTGAGAAAACATTAAATATTAAAAATTTTTTTTTCAATTTCTTATAATAAGGAATCTATGGTATTATGTCAGATCTTTGACCCATCCTGTAAAACGACTAGATGTTTTCAAACTTTTAAATTTACTTTTTGTAACAATTCTGATATCGACAATCCATCCCATTATGCTACTACGCCTCTTGGTTCACTGCATCCTTATACCACTACACTTGACAGTGACAAATGTCAAGCGAACGTTGCAGACATATCAAATCTGTTATAAATAATTTCAGTACTCGTGAAAACTATACAAGATACAATGCTGAATCTTTAAATAATGTATTAGAAACGAGCATTTTTCCTAATTTTTAGGATGGTCACTTCGCTACAATTGGTTGATATTGGTCTACTGTAACTGCTACTGTATCTTTATAAATTTCAGCTCTAAATATGTATCCACAAGAGTATGAAGAAATCTTGTAACGAAGGGTGATAGACACATCCGCTTTGTTTTAAAATGTGTATAATAACGTATGTTTTTCAAATATCGTAGCGAATCTGTTCACTCACATATACGAAATGATTGAATTTTCTTAGAAGAAAAAAACGTAACCCTTCGTTTTTGGCATAAAAAATAACAATTATCTTTCGGAATAGTTTGTGATTCTCATCGTCAACGTAAATTCGTGTATTTTGCTATAAAATGCCCTTTGAACAAACCCTGTATATTGCTCAGTAAACAATTACAAATTCTCAAAAACCACTGGACCAATCGACTCTAATTTTGTTGTAGGTATTGAGAACTATGAATGAAGCCTACGGATTTTGAGAAAGTTGGGGTTTTCCTTTACACGACGTGTAGATCTAAATAAGCGGACTTTCTTAGTAGCATATACACCAATAATAATAATAATAATAATAATAATAATAATAATAATAATGCCTTTATTATCTGCAGTGAGGCGAAGTTTAGCCAGACGGCTACTCCTCCACTTAACCCCAAAGCAGAGAAAAAAAGAAAGAAAAATACATACACATGTTACAAAAAAAGTAATTAAGAACAAAATAGTTTCATTAAATGAACGACAGATACAAAAAACAATCAGGAAAAGACAATCATATACATATATAAACACAGAGAACTAACTTGTCTCCAGCAACTGATTTTTCATTAATTTCTTAAAAGAAGAGACTGGCTTGGATCGATGCGAATGGTTAAGAGCATTGTAATGTTTAACAGCATTATAGGTATAACTCCTTTCAAAGATAAAAGTGTTGTGGAGCGGCATATTAAAATTAATATTAAATCTAAGAGTCCTTGGTACGAAGTTACCACGAGGTATCAATTTGCTAAAAAGATAGGCCGGTCTGTTTGTTAGCAGAACTTTATGAGTTAAGACGTTCAATAAATATAAAAATAGTTTATCAATTTTCAGCCAGTTGAGTTCTCTGATTTTATCCGAAACGTGACTGAACCTACGGAGACCAAATATAAACCTACAGCAGCTGTTTTGAATTTTCTGAAGCTTACATTTGTTATTATAATCTAAACATGGATAATAGAGGACAAGAGAATAAGATATAATTGACAATACAAGAGTTTCGCAAAGCTTTTTACGGGTTTTAAAATTTAAAATATGTCGACTTGAATGTAGAAGTTTCAAGCGCATATACGTTACTCTCGACAAATATGAAACGTGATGATCAAACCTCATGTTTTTGTCGAGAGTTATTCCGAGGTTTTTAGTATAGTCAACAAGAGGGATGAGTGTTTGATCCAACACAATATTAATTCTCTCCTTCACAACTGGATAGGAATTTTTCGAACAAAACAACATAGCAGTAGTCTTCTTAGGATTTATTTTAAGACAGTGTTTCTTGCAATAATCGTTCACGTTAGTCATGTCCAAATTGATTTTGAAAGAAACCTCGTCAACCTCTGACGGATCAAAGGCAAACACCAACTGAGTATCATCCGCGTAAGTATGCATGGCTGAATGGACTATACAATCTTGCAAATCGGCAGTGTATATCAGATATAATAAGGGACCAAGCACAGAACCCTGAGGAACTCCTGAAGGAACCGGCTTCGTAGTGGACATGCCCTGTTCAGTTTTCACAGTTTGTTGCCGATCAAGCAAGTATGACTCGAAGAACTTTACAACTATATCTGACATACCATAGTAAGACAATTTACTCAATAGTATCTGGTGATTGACCATGTCAAAGGCTTTCGAGAAATCTAGCAGTATCAATACGGTGTTGATGTGATTATCCAAATTATAGATGATAGAGTCAGTGAGATTTAATAACGACGAGGTCGTGCTGTGACCAGACCTGAAACCCGACTGACATTGAGGAAATAAGTTATTTTGTTCAAAAAACTCCACCAGTTGAGAGTAGACAGCTTTCTCTAGTATTTTTGATAGAAAGCATAACAGGCTGATTGGTCTAAGATCAGAATGTTGCTCTGGACAATTGTTTTTGGCTAGTGGAATAATTATAGCATTTTTCCAGCTGGCTGGATAATAACCACTTTCAAGGCAGATATTAATAACATGCGTTATGTAATCGATAATCTCGGGCAGACATAAGCAAACCATATTTAAACT